ATTTTTGTTTCCCTACCGCTAGTTTATATATTACTGTTGGTTACATAATTATATTATCCAATTGTATGTATCCGATGTTAAATTGTAAATCCTAAGTGTCAAATATATATATCTGTCAAATTATAACACCACGTGTATGTCTCTCTATACCTCTCTCTCAACCCTAGACCCATCACTCCTACAGACCCGCGACTCTGTATGACTTTTGGAGAAGTGACGTTAAGTACCGTTCACAGTAGTATCGTGGCGCGTTCACATGCGCCTGGCGCCCAACTTTACCGTGAGTTAATGAACGCCCCTAAGGGCGAAGAATTAACTCTTCTGATACCGATTTTTACCGTTTTATTAGTTAAACTTGGAGAATCTTTAAATTGAACGCTCCCCTGTCCGAACTTGGCGTTTCGGCACAGGAAAAGACGTTGCAACATTTTAAAATAATCAAAAAAATAAAAAAAATATCCAAAAAAATAGACAAATTTTAGAGAGTTGACTTTGGACGGTATTCATAAGTCCAAGCTTAAACATCGTCTTAAGATTTTCTTGATTAAGATCGTCTTGTTTGTATAAGTATGACTTGAGACTTCATGTATTCATAGTTTTAATTAAAATGAGACGATCTTCATAAAGAAATAAGCACTTCCTTTTATTTAAGATTTTATTACTGAAGTTAGTGCTTAAGATGATCTGATTTACTTTCAGTAATCTTCGGAATTTTTCTGATGTATCAGCCAATGAAATATGTGTTTAAATATAGAAAAATTTAACGAGTTGTATGTCTATACCATTTATTCATGTATCAAATTATTGCAGACTCTAAAGTATTGTTAGAAAGTTTTTAGAAAAGTTGTTAGAACTTTTCTGTAAAAGAATGTCAAGCAAAAAACATTATATAGATCCCGAAGAGAATTCTTTCTTAAAATTTTAACAAAATATTCTCCTTGAAAAAAAGTGATGCTACAACTTTGAAAGACAAAGAAGAAGCATGGAATCAAACTTGCGATGCATATATCTATTGTTACAAGGTAAGAAATCTATAAATTTTTTCTAATTAGGTATATTAAATGCTTAAAATAAAAACGTTAATTATATCTGAAGAAAATCTAATATGATATTTGCGGTAGATAGCTTCATTTTTAAGCTAGATTTTAAATACTTTTTATATTCAAAGTAATTTAATTTTTAACATTTTAAAGTGTAATAAATTATTACAGAGAAGCGTTCAATTTAGAAAATTATGGAGTAATTTAAAATCAGTACAGAGAGATGTCCTTACGCAGGAAAAACATGCACGTTTATCAACAGGTGGTGGACCTGAACCTAAATCTGCGAGATTGACCCAGACATTGCCGCAATAGCACCCAATTTAATGACAATTGCACCAACATTATTTTCATCAAATTTATCAGATAAAATACTAGAAGGTAATTTCATCTTTATTTTATTTATTTATAATAAAAATTGAAAAAATAGTAACGATAAATATTTTTCAGAACGACAAAAAAGAATATTAATGATTATATTCCTGAAGAATTAATTGAAAATGTGGAGGGCATAGACTTTATTGATGATGATTTCCAAGAAGTTAATAATGATTCTATTATCACACTTCATACAAATGATAAAATAACTAATTTTATTGATATTTTCTATTAACATATGTGTTTATAAATAAGAATTTAGAATTAATGACAATGACAATTGAATGTTACAGACTCAAGCAGTGATGAGACTAATGATGCTGAAAAAGAAAATAATCCAGTAAATGCAATATTAAAAAATAATAAGGATAAATTTTATTAATATATTTATATTTATTTTTAGACACACTTCTCTCTCTCTGTGTGCGTGCGTGCGTGCGTGCGTGCGTGCGTGTTGCGTAGTATCTTAAGCATTTTAACAATTTGTATTGTACTGGTGGAACCGGCAGACCACGATTGTTAATTTTTGCTAATTCTTCTTCTTTAATTTTTGTTAATATTCCAAATAGGAGGAATCCTTATTAATCTATAGCGTCTTTTAATTGTAAATTATTATAAAAGGGTTTTAAGTCCATCACGAATGTATCGTTTTCGTACACGTTCTCTACTTGAAAATCACGATCAATCAATATTTTCAATATCATCAATTTCTTCCATTAATTCCATAATATTTAATAATAAGCTTATCTTAAAGTCATGTACGACTGACTTGAAAACATAACCTTTCTTTCTAATAAACATGTAGATCGATTCTGTAATTTAAGTGAGATCGTTCGTTTTTCGCACTTTCATCTCACGTGAGTTTATTCGTGCGATTCTGTAACGTCAAAGTGAAAATACGAAATCACTAGATTTGCTAATGTGATAATGTAAATAATTGTGGGAGAGAACTATCGATGGAGAGAACTCTGTGAATACCTCAAATAAAAAGTATCACGCCATTATTGCAAAAACTTTTTTTAACAAAAATGAATGTGACGGAGAAGCAGAAACAAATACTTATAAACTTTATGCGATCTCATCCCGATTTTGGAAGAGGCAGATTACGTTATAACCGCGAAAATAAAAAAAGAATAGTAAATGATTTTATAAATTATTTTATTATGATATAAATATTATTTTTAAAAACGATAAATAATAGAAGTAATAAATTGTAAATAAAAATTACAAGTAAATATGTGCATATTTTTTTATAGGACGAGTTATGGGAGGAAATAACATCAGATCTCAATTGTGCAGGCTGCGGTCCTCAAAAGTTGCCAAAAGAATGGGCAAAGGTAAATATACAATATATATACGTTAAATAAATAATTTACTTGTTAGTTACTATTTTACATAATACTATCTTATTTTACATAATACTAATGGCAAGATTATTCTTTTTTTGTTACAGACATGGCGTGATTGGAAATCGAATTTGTTAAAACGAGTAGCCACATATAAAAGTTACTCAGCAGGCACTGGAGGAGGACCACCAAAGACTTTAGACACTAGCCCCTCCGAAGACGATTTATTAGAATTTCTAACACCTGAAGCCAGTGGAATGTCTAATATTCCTGAAGGAGGAGCTATTGGCGATAATAACTTTACTTCTCCTTACTTGACCGCTAAAAAAATGTTGACGTCACAGAATCTGCAGGATTCTCCTATCTGGCAAACCAAAGAATTCTCAACTTCGCAGAATTCACAGATCAAGAAAACTTCATGCTTCCAAAGATCTCAAGATATGACTTCCTCCTTGCATCTCAATGCTGAAGTAATGTTATTTTATTGTAGAATTTTAAAATTATTATTATATACTATAGTTTTAATATTAATTTTATCTTACAAATTTCAGGAAAATCTCTTCGATTGTGATGTAATAAATGTCAATGATACAGAGAATCTTCCAATAAATGTAAGTGCAATCATAATATATGATGTTTCTTTTGTTCACACAATGTATCTATTTCTTGCAAAGTAGTATATAAAAGTATTCTATTCTGTTTCAGATATCTTCTAATGTACTCGCTTCTATAGGAAATGTACAGATTCCAAAACAAGTACATTGCCAGAACTCCAGTACAATATCAACAAAAAACAAGAGATATTCTGATGACAGAGGTAATGAAAATTAATTACTAATGACCACTCCTTTCTTATGTGATATATCATCACTATTTCATTTTATTTAATCTTTTGACATCTATTATTGAAGAAAACTGATATTAATTATAATATTGAATTTCTTTTAGATATGGGTAACAAAAAAATTAAACAGAACTGGCAAACCACCAAAGAGTTCTTGACCTCGCAGAGTTCACAGATCCAAAAAACTTCATGCTTTCAAAGACCTCAAGATACGACTTCCTTCTTGCATCTCAATGCTGAAGTAATATTATTTTACTGTAGAATTTTAAAATTATTATTATATACTATAGAGTTTTAATATTAATTTTATCTTACAAATTTCAGGAAAATCTCTTTGACAATGACATAATAAATGATGATACAGAGAATCTTCCAATAAATGTAAGTGCAATGATAACATATATAATGTTTTTTTTCTTTACGCTGTATCTATTGTATTTCTTGCAAAGTATATGAAGGTATTTTGTTTTGTTTCAGATATCCTCCAATGTACTTGCTTCTACAGAAAATGTACAGATTCCAAAACAAGTACATTGTCACAACTCCAGCACAATGTCAACAAAAAACAAGAAATATTCTGATGACAGAGGTAACAAAAATTAATAACTATTGACGACTCTTCTCTTGTGTGATATATTAACACTATTTTATTTTATGTTATTTTATCTTTCGATGTCTATTATTGAGAAAAATTGATATTAATTATATTTAATTTTTAGATACCGGTAACAAGAAAACAAAGCAGAATGTTAAACAATTATTTGAACAGCACACCGTGGATTATTGCAGTATTCAGGAGCGATCATTACAATTGAAAGAGGAAAAATTGACTGTAGCAAGAGAAGAGTTACAATTAAAAAAAGAAACTTACCAAGAACGCAACGAACTTCTAACATCGTTGATTGAAAAGGTAGATGAATTAACGAATATAATTCGATCCGTTGCTCCGCAATATTTGGAATAAAATAAGAAAAACAAAGTACATTGATGGGAAGTTTGCACGGGAGAGTTTCATGTCTGTCATAAATATTAAAAGAATTGGTGCAATTTTTTTGTTAATTAGTTTTTATTTTACATGTTATTTTAAGTTGTAGAATTATATTATTTTTTTGTAATATCATTAGTAATTGCTTTGCCACTCTCCATTATGTAGATGGTTTAGAAAATAATTTTACTACTAATTATAAAATTACTTATTAATTACAAAATTAGTTATTCTAAAATTAATTATTTAATTTTTGCAAATTTAATTTCCAAAATCTTGATTGATGTGTAACCTGTTTAGATATATTAAAATTTACAAATAAAGTACACTATTTTTTATGTAAATAAACATATATATTTATCATACAGTTGTTTACAAATAAGATAATATACTTTCTCATTCCCACTATTAAAATAATATACAATACGTTCAATATACATCTTAATTTCTACGTAAAATATTGTACAGATTTGTTGGACAATTCAATAATAGATTTGTTTAAAAAATGTTTCAAAAGCACCTTAAAATTACTGATAAAATTACAAAAAATCTAAAAAAATACTAGTAATATAACATCGAATTAAGGATTAATTAATTAGTAAAATACCATTGAATCACTCGAGTTTGGGTTTGTTCTCCAGTTTCTTCGGCAATATTACATGGTATCGGTGGTTCAATATCCATTTCATCCAGATATATTTCATCGTTTGGAATTCTCCATTTAATTGCCATATTGTGTAGAATGCAGCAAGCATTAACAACGAGAGCTATATAACAAAATATTTCACCAATATATACAGATTGCAAAAAATAGTAAAATTATAAAATAGTGACCTTAAACTAACATATAAAATAACGTAAAAGCAAAATAAAACTTAATCATGGCTACTTTCGCGACAGATCAAAATGATTCAGATTAAAATGATCTCTACGCTATAATTATTCAAATTTTAAATTTCATTAGAACTATTATAATGAAATTTCAAGTTTGAGCAATCATAGCCACAGATTATTTTAATGTAGATCATTTTGATTCTGTTGCAAAAGCAGTTAAAAATACGAAAAAAAGTTATAAAGAAAATTATAAAACAATAAATAGAATTAAAAAGTGAAATTACCAGCAAATTGTGGAGAATAATGTAAAGCTCGTTCTTTCCGTAAGCAACGCCAGCGACCTTTTAGAATGCCGAAACATCGCTCTATAGTCACACGAGTCCGGACATGATGATCTGTATACCTTGCGCCTGGAGTTCCTTCTACTTGATTTAATTGTGGCGTCAGTAAAAAAGGTAGAAGAGGATATGCAGAATCACCTAAAATACGTACAATGTTAGTCTTTAACCAACGCTAATATTTTTGTTTGATAGATGCATAATTAAAGAAAATTATAAGTACTATAAGAGAAGTTCACTGAAGCTTGAATATAATTGAATATAATTCTTATTATGGATTTTGTAGGCTTTCCAGCAACGACACAGAGCGACAAGTGTATCGTTCTATCTTTGCTGTTCACTAGTATTGAAAGATAATAGAACGATACACTGTGTCGCTCTGTGTCATTGTTGGAAAGCCTACATTATTACAATATAATTATTTACCTATAAGCCAGGAATTTATTTCACCTTCTCTGTGCCTTTGCTCTAAATGAGCAAATACTCTCGATGATCGGAGCACTCGGGCATCGTGTGTTCGGCCACCATGGGCACTATTTACGGCAAGAATTTCGCACTTGGAATCACAAATCTGAAATTACATTATTTAGTAGTTTATTATTATTATCATTAGTATATATATGTATTATTATTATTAATATTATTATTATTATTTATTTATTGTGATACATATTCTAGCATTACACAGTATATTTATATACTTACAACCAATACATTTAATGAATGATATAACTTTCGATTGATAAATAGGTATTCCCTTTCAATTTCTGGTGGAAAAATAGCAACGTGTGTTCCATCAATTGCTCCAATAACTCCTGGAAAACCGCCGTTTCTGAAAAATCTGAAAAATAAATATTAGAATACTAAAATATTTTTATCCTTCATAATCTACTGATTAAAACTTATATTGAATGTTATATAAAATAAATAATAAAATTATAATATAAAAACTGACTAGAAATTTATATTTATTCGATCTGCATTCTACGTACATACATAAATCATATAATTATTAATTATTACCTTTGTTTGATGCTTTGAATTCTGTCAGCGGTTACTGGAAAACAAATCCAATCGTCAATAATACAATTCAATGCATTGACAGTCGCATGAAGGGAACGGCTTAATGACGTTTGAGACATACACGTAAAGAAATCTTGGCCTGTTCTTCTCTGATAGGATCCTGATGCAAAGAAGTTTAATGATGCTAGTATCTAAATAAAATAACAAGAATTGAATCAGAAAGATTAAAAAAATTATTAGGAATTTAATAGCTTTACACAAATAGAAAATTCAAAATACATTGTACCTGTAATTCATGAGATATTGCAGTTTTCCGTGATATTTGTGGCATGAATGCCACCAATTGTGCAATAAGCATACGAGTTGCATCTTTTGTCAGTCTAAAACAGAGCTGTCCACATTTTGCTCTTTTCGGCCGATTTCCGAGATTCACCGCCCAGCGACCCCCACTCGCGCTCGAGGCCTTAGCAACGCGTTGACCGATAGCCGTAACTAAGATGCACGGCGCTCCGTCTCAGGGACGATGCATCTGTAACGCGATGCCGTTCCGTACCCTTTCTTTAACTTTAAATTTAACTAAATATTTTCAATATTTTAAAATCGCGATTTTTTAATTATTATTTTTATTATTAATTATTTATTATATTTTATTTATATATGTTTATTTTTAGATTATATTTATATTTATAATAATTGTGGCAATAGATTTCCACGTCACCCATGAGGTACTATTGTTAACGCGTTTTTTTTTATAGTGGTTTCCCCTGTAGGCCTAGTCCACTTAAAAAGAAGAATTAAGAAATGAGCAAAAACGATAGAAAAATCAAAAATTAAAATTTTGTGCGACTACGCCGTTCGTACGATTCGATAACAGATGGAACATCTATTTCAATATTTGAAGTACTTATTCGCATCAACGAAGATAATGATGCATCCTTCAAACAAGAGCGTCTGTCGGTTTTTATATATTTCATTTTTGAAAAAGAGCATTCACATAAGTAAGTCGAGCCAAACATAGAAAAAAATCGAAGACCGAAATTTCTAAGCCTCGGATAAGTCGCTACGTCTAAAATTTTAAAAACTTCTATTCCTTTTTCCGGTCGCGTTTTAAGGGAAAGTTCAGATTGTAAATCACAAAGTTCCTGTTGCAATTCTATATTTTGCTCTTCGATTTGCGCAGTAAAAGGATTCTCGAGAAGAATAAGATCATTTCTCAACATTTCAAAATCACTAAACCGTGTATTAAATTGACTAATAAGTGAATCGATTAACTGGAGATGCTTCTGAAAATTGCAACTTTTGCCATGCTCTTCGAAAAGAACTTGACAAGATGGGAAAAAATGTAAATTATCTGTCACTATATGATTTTTAAATAATAATAACTGTCTACGGAAAGAATCAATGGCGCTAACTAATTGAGAAATAACTTGATTCGGTCTTTGAAGCTTCAAATTTAAAATATTTAAATGGTTAGTCAAATCAGTAATAAAAGCGAGCTCACTGAGAAATTCTAAATCTTCTAGAAAAAATTTATATTCGTCGCATTTTGCAACAGATATTTCTTGCAAGAAAAGGAAGATTTCTTTTCTTATTGCAAAAAATTTCTCTAAACATTTTCCGGCACTAAGCCAGCGGACCTCGCAATATAAAGGGAGATCGGTATAAGTTGCGTTATGCTCTTCGAGAAAGTGTTGAAACTTGCGATGGGAAAGAAATTTATGACCACCTTTAATAAAATTAACAATTTGCGTTACCGTTTGCATAGCACTACTAAGTTTAACAGTTTTCCCGCATAACGCTTCTTGATGAATAATACAATGAATCATCGGAAATTTTAAATCTCGCTGTCTGATCTGACCGAGGAATCCATTTTTTGAACCTGTCATCGCTTTGGTACCATCTGTTATTATAGACGAACATTTTGTAAAATCTAAATTAAATTTATTGAGAGTTTTTTCTACAGCTCTGAAGATATCTATACCCATAGTTGTATCATGCAAAGCAACAAAGTCTAAAAGCTCCTCGACACATGAGAAATCGTTTTGGACGATTCGAATAAAAATACTCAACTGGCTCACGTGTCGATTATCGGTGCTTTCATCAAGACACAATGAGAAGTACGAACAAGTTGCTAACAAAGATTTTAATCTATCTTCAATAGATAATGCAATATTAGTAATTCTACGTCCTACTGTTTGATGGCTAAGCGGAATACTCGTAACTTCGTCAACTGTCAATTTACCGTCAAAGGATTTTACTGTCTCAACGAGACAGTTTTTTATAAATTCACCATCACTAAACGATTTGGAATGCTTCGCGATGAGGAACGAAATAGCGTATGATGCAGCCAAAGCTTTTGCATTATTGTTACCGGCGTTAGAAATTAATAAATCAGAAGAATTATCTGCCTGATAAACTAATTTTAAACCTTCAAGAATTTTTAATTTTTCCTCAGACGTATAACTAGAATATTGTCCGGAATGTTTGACTCTATAATGTCTTTTGAGATTGTATCTTTTTACGACAGACGGCTCGTAACCACAGAGAACACAAGTTGTTCGATTGCGAACAAAAACGAAGAAAATATCTTCCCATATTCTATCATACCTCTGTTCGTAGTTCTGCTTACTTCCATCAGCCATCCTTCAAATAATCGATGAAATCTTGAAATTCTGAGCACTCTCTCGCAGGAAGACGTTACGCTGAGACACGCTTTGGAGTAAAGAATCGGTTAAGACGCAAAGTCTGCGCGGCCAGATTATACGCAATTGTTTAACCGTTATTTATTTGTCTTAACCGATTCTTTACTCCAAAGCGTGTCTCAGCGTAACGTCTTCCTGCGAGAGAGTGCTCAGAATTTCAAGATTTCATCGATTATTTGAAGGATGGCTGATGGAAGTAAGCAGAACTACGAACAGAGGTATGATAGAATATGGGAAGATATTTTCTTCGTTTTTGTTCGCAATCGAACAACTTGTGTTCTCTGTGGTTACGAGCCGTCTGTCGTAAAAAGATACAATCTCAAAAGACATTATAGAGTCAAACATTCCGGACAATATTCTAGTTATACGTCTGAGGAAAAATTAAAAATTCTTGAAGGTTTAAAATTAGTTTATCAGGCAGATAATTCTTCTGATTTATTAATTTCTAACGCCGGTAACAATAATGCAAAAGCTTTGGCTGCATCATACGCTATTTCGTTCCTCATCGCGAAGCATTCCAAATCGTTTAGTGATGGTGAATTTATAAAAAACTGTCTCGTTGAGACAGTAAAATCCTTTGACGGTAAATTGACAGTTGACGAAGTTACGAGTATTCCGCTTAGCCATCAAACAGTAGGACGTAGAATTACTAATATTGCATTATCTATTGAAGATAGATTAAAATCTTTGTTAGCAACTTGTTCGTACTTCTCATTGTGTCTTGATGAAAGCACCGATAATCGACACGTGAGCCAGTTGAGTATTTTTATTCGAATCGTCCAAAACGATTTCTCATGTGTCGAGGAGCTTTTAGACTTTGTTGCTTTGCATGATACAACTATGGGTATAGATATCTTCAGAGCTGTAGAAAAAACTCTCAATAAATTTAATTTAGATTTTACAAAATGTTCGTCTATAATAACAGATGGTACCAAAGCGATGACAGGTTCAAAAAATGGATTCCTCGGTCAGATCAGACAGCGAGATTTAAAATTTCCGATGATTCATTGTATTATTCATCAAGAAGCGTTATGCGGGAAAACTGTTAAACTTAGTAGTGCTATGCAAACGGTAACGCAAATTGTTAATTTTATTAAAGGTGGTCATAAATTTCTTTCCCATCGCAAGTTTCAACACTTTCTCGAAGAGCATAACGCAACTTATACCGATCTCCCTTTATATTGCGAGGTCCGCTGGCTTAGTGCCGGAAAATGTTTAGAGAAATTTTTTGCAATAAGAAAAGAAATCTTCCTTTTCTTGCAAGAAATATCTGTTGCAAAATGCGACGAATATAAATTTTTTCTAGAAGATTTAGAATTTCTCAGTGAGCTCGCTTTTATTACTGATTTGACTAACCATTTAAATATTTTAAATTTGAAGCTTCAAAGACCGAATCAAGTTATTTCTCAATTAGTTAGCGCCATTGATTCTTTCCGTAGACAGTTATTATTATTTAAAAATCATATAGTGACAGATAATTTACATTTTTTCCCATCTTGTCAAGTTCTTTTCGAAGAGCATGGCAAAAGTTGCAATTTTCAGAAGCATCTCCAGTTAATCGATTCACTTATTAGTCAATTTAATACACGGTTTAGTGATTTTGAAATGTTGAGAAATGATCTTATTCTTCTCGAGAATCCTTTTACTGCGCAAATCGAAGAGCAAAATATAGAATTGCAACAGGAACTTTGTGATTTACAATCTGAACTTTCCCTTAAAACGCGACCGGAAAAAGGAATAGAAGTTTTTAAAATTTTAGACGTAGCGACTTATCCGAGGCTTAGAAATTTCGGTCTTCGATTTTTTTCTATGTTTGGCTCGACTTACTTATGTGAATGCTCTTTTTCAAAAATGAAATATATAAAAACCGACAGACGCTCTTGTTTGAAGGATGCATCATTATCTTCGTTGATGCGAATAAGTACTTCAAATATTGAAATAGATGTTCCATCTGTTATCGAATCGTACGAACGGCGTAGTCGCACAAAATTTTAATTTTTGATTTTTCTATCGTTTTTGCTCATTTCTTAATTCTTCTTTTTAAGTGGACTAGGCCTACAGGGGAAACCACTATAAAAAAAAACGCGTTAACAATAGTACCTCATGGGTGACGTGGAAATCTATTGCCACAATTATTATAAATATAAATATAATCTAAAAATAAACATATATAAATAAAATATAATAAATAATTAATAATAAAAATAATAATTAAAAAATCGCGATTTTAAAATATTGAAAATATTTAGTTAAATTTAAAGTTAAAGAAAGGGTACGGAACGGCATCGCGTTACAGATGCATCGTCCCTGAGACGGAGCGCCGTGCATCTTAGTTACGGCTATCGGTCAACGCGTTGCTAAGGCCTCGAGCGCGAGTGGGGGTCGCTGGGCGGTGAATCTCGGAAATCGGCCGAAAAGAGCAAAATGTGGACAGCTCTGGTCTAAAACATAAAAAGCATGTAATCACGCGCTGCAATATAAAGCTTTGTCACTACTAAAGAACTTTAAATATGAAAATTTACCTGTACAGCTTGCGAAATTGGCTATCAGACACTGAAAAAGGATCTAATGTATCTCTGAGTAACATTCGTGTAACCTCATAATCTGATTGCGTTTCAAAGCCTCTTCATCATCCTCTTCTCAAGTATTAAAACAGCCATGAATATTTCCATTTTTGTTACTTTTTCGGGCTTTATTATTTGTACGACACTTAACCTTAAATAGAATCTGTGGTCTCCACACGCGTCACGACGCTGTCTATAGTTTCTCTCTCGCTCTGTTTTTCAACTTCTCTCTCTCTCTCTCTCGGATTTCACCATTCGACAAGAAATTTCTTGCCGAACAAACTCCCGTGAGATGGCACGCATTTCCACTAGGATGAAAGTTACTGAATCGCTCGAACTGCTCACTTTTAGTATTTTCATTAAATTTTAGATACAGAATCGACCCCATGATCTTATTTGATTCAAATAAGGCCATCAAGATTTGATTATAAATCTGACTAGTTTTGAAGACATGCTTAAGAAGAGAAAGGCATTATCTTAGAAGACTTTGTGCTTAAGACAGTCTTAAATATAAGAACGGAATATGGAATACCGTCCTTTATTTCAAAAAATGAGAGTTTAAATTTAAAAAGAGTTAGCTAAAATCTTTATTTCGAAAAGTCAGTTGTTTTCCGACATATTTGCTGACCAAAAATGTCTCCCGAGTAAATCTTACAATAAAATTCTGCGCTATTAACAGAGTGTCCAATAATAATTTAATGGCACTCATTGGTCGTATATATGTATACGTATATATTCACAAATATGTTTCGGCAGTGCAGCACGTGGCCTTATATCCTCACTCAGCGGAATTCTAACTGCGAGAAAAGACGCCGCGTAGCGGCGAAAGCACGAACGAGTGCACGACTTTACGGACGGTTTTCCGCGAGTGCTTTCGCGCGCAGTCTTGTCTGGCGGTGTAGCATATGTTACAGGCGTTTTACTATCAAAATATAATTGTAGCTTACGGAGATTCTGAACGCCTTTGAGAAGTCTGTTGTTTTTTTCCTGTTTTATCGTCAAAATGTGATGTTAGATAAACTATAAATCTATTTATTGGCTATACGGATTGCTTTTTACCTAAAATTGCTCAGAAACGTATATAGTGCTCGCAAAATTTAAAACTACACTGACTTTTTTCTTAAGGGTTTGAACGGCCAATTTCACATTTATTCGAAACATGATGTAACGGGGCTCCTTTCCCGACGCCACGGATCGGCTCGTCGGTGCCAGGATTCGGGAAGAGGGGGGAGACTCAGGTTCGCAATAACCACGCCAATCGTTCTGGTAAAAACAGAGTTTATTGAAGCCGCCCTGCAAGAGTTGGCTTATTATCTAGTCTACGCGTACAGAGGAGAATCGCAGGAAGTGCGGACCGCGACCAACTTATACGAACGCGGACACGATTTATAACTAAGGAATACAAGGTATGCAACGGACGAAGCGTGACCAAGTCATACGGACATGGACACGCCTTAGAACTAAGGTTTACAAATGATAACGCGACGGACGAAACGCGACCAAATCATACGGACGCGGACACGACTTATAACTAAGGTTTACAAATGATAACGCGACGGACGAAACGCGACCAAATCATACGGACGCGGGCACGACTTATAACTAAAGGTTTACAAATAATAACGCGACGGACGAAACGCGACCAAATCATACGGACGCGGACACGACTTATAACTAAGATAGTAGCGTGGCGGACGAAATTTACCCAACGCGGCGTGGATACGAGCGCCCTAAAAAGGGCGAGCTCCGTAAACCGCCTTGGATTCGGGCGCCCTGAGAAGGGCGAGCTCCGCAAGATGTCGGTGGCTCTCGGAGGATCCGGTGACCGAGGAAACTCGGCCTTCCCGACGAGAACGCTCGTCGGCCGGGGTGATGTTCGGAGAGGATCCGGTGCCCGAGGACGCTCGGCCTGCCCGACGAGAACGCTCGTCGACCGGGGTGATGTTCGGAGAGGATCCGGAGACCGAGAATGCTCGGCCTGCCCGACGAGAACGCTCGTCGACCGGGGTGCTGTTCGGAGAGGATCCGGTGACCGAGGACGCTCGGCCCACCCGACGAGAACGCTCGTCGACCGGGGTGGTGTTCGGAGAGGATCCGGAGACCGAGAATGCTCGGCCTGCCCGACGAGAACGCTCGTCGACCGGGGTGCTGTTCGGAGAGGATCCGGTGACCGAGGACGCTCGGCCTGCCCGACGAGAACGCTCGTCGACCGGGGTGCTGTTCGGAGAGGATCCGGTGACCGAGGACGCTCGGCCTGCCCGACGAGAACGCTCGTCGGCCGGGGTGATGTTTGGAGAGGATCCGGTGACCGAGGACGCTCGGCCTGCCCGACGAGAACGCTCGTCGGCCGGGGTGATGTTTGGAGAGGATCCGGTGCCCGAGAACGCTCGGCTTACGCGACGAGAACGCTCGTCGCCCGGGATGGTTAGGAGGTGAGGAGTGGTCCTTGAGTACGCTCAAGAGACCAGGACGGGACTGGTCTCGAAGTCTCGGCTGCGCCACTTTATATACCCGTCGGTCAGCCCCCTCCAACTAGCTTGGAGTGGGGCGGTCCGGTCGGGTGGGGCAAAAAGGCAAATTCCCACGTGTTCGATGTGTGGTGGCCCCGACAGGGGCCGTTTATATGAGCGCGGGCGGACGGTCGGCCTCGTGCTTGCGCGGCTTCTAGTGACGACAAAACGGGTCGTCACATCACCCTCCCTTTTTACGGGGGGTGGGGTAGTCGGCGGATCATCCGTGGCTGACCACGCCGATTGAATCGGATGATCCAGCGGCCGTCCGGGGTGCGCACTTTATATCGCCGCGAGATGGTGGCGGCGTAAAACGGAACGTCGACCGTTCGTCCGTTCCCCAGGGTAACCTGCACGGGGTGCGGTTGGCCCACCGCTGTAGGGGGCGCCGGTCGTTGCGCGATGGTCGGCGGCACGGCGGTGGAGGGTGCCGGTGGACGCGTGGTCGATCGGCACACGGCGTCTGATTGATGTGTCGGTCGTGATGGTGGTCGGGCTGGGCGGCGTGCGTCGGTCGGTGTCGTTGTAGGCTTGGTGGCGGCGGCGACGGTGATGACGGCGGAGGCTGGCGAGTCCGAGAGGACCCGTGGTCGTCGACGGTGGCTCGGGGGTGGCGGAGGTGCTGCGAGAAACGCCATTTTCCGGCTCCGTTGTTCCACGTCGGACCGTTGGATGTAGGTCCCCACCCGAGGCACCGGCCGGTTGGTTCGTCCGGAGACGGACGGGTTGTTTCGTCCGGAAACGGACGGATTGTTTCGTCCGGAAACGGACGGTTGGTCTCCTTGAGACTGGTCAGCTTTTGGGCTTCCCATCGTGGCGAGGATAGACTCGGGGCTGAGAGCGCCCGTCTTTTATACCTCTCCGGAGTATAGCGCGGACCGTGGAGAGTGCCGCTCTCGGTGTTCGGCCGGACAGCCACACGAAAAAAAGCGCGGACCATGAAGAGTGCCGCTCTCGGGGCTCGGTCGGGAAATCACGAACGTGTAGCGAAAAAGCGCGGACCCTGACGAGTGCCGCTCTCGGTGCTCGGTCGGGAGCTCGCGAACGTGTAGCGAAAAAGCGCGGACCCTGACGAGTGCCGCTCTCGGTGTTCGGCCGGACAGCCACGCGAAAAGAAAGCGCGGACCATGAAGAGTGCCGCTCTCGGTGCTCGGTCGGGAAATCGCGAACGGGTAGCGGAAGAGCGCGGGCCATGAGGAGTGCCCTCCTACGGTTCGTCCGCGGGCGGCGGTTCTGAGGCTGGCTTCAAATCTCGGACGTGGACATGTCGGTGCCACCGACCTCGGTCGTCCTTCAGGTCCATGATGACGGGGGAGATGATGCGGCCAACCGTCATCGGGCCACCAAATCTTGGTGCCAGCTTGGCATTAAAGCCCCGCTCTTTGTTCGATAGCGGGTGTTCCTTCTTCCACACCCGGTCCCCAATTTTTGGACGCCAGTCACGCCTGCGCAAGTCGTAATTTCGCTGCTGGTGTTGGAACGCGCGAGCCAGGTTGATCCTGACGATTTCGTAGGCGTCTTCGAGGCGGCGTCGGACTGCTCCGGGGGCGGCGTTGGCGGTTACCGGACGTCGGTCGTCAGGGTACGGCGACTGTAGCTCCCGGCCGTATATCAGGAAGGCCGGGGTATATCCCGTGGATTCTTGCCGCGCGGTATTGAAAGCAAACTGGAGCTGGGGGATGTGCTCATCCCAGCGGCGGTGCCGGCCCTCCACGTATTGCGCCACCATAGTTTTTATGGTGCGGTTGGCTCTCTCGACCGGGTTGCACTGTGGGGCGTAGGCGGGAGCGGTCTGGTGTTTGATCCCGAAGGATCTTAACAACCCTTCGAGCTGGTGCGATCGCAACTGAGTCCCGTTATCAGAGATGATGGTGTCCGGGCAACCATGGCGATATATTATGCGCCCGGCGACTTCTCGTGTGACGTTGGCGGCGGTGGCCTGGCGGAGGGGTGTCATCTCCACCCACTTTGAGAACCGATCCTGCATGGTTAGCAGCCAGGTATGCCCACTGGTCGACCGTGGCAATGGTCCGACCAGGTCAATCGAGACTTGTTGCCACGGATGCGTGACATTGGTGGCCCGAAGTTTCCCGGCTGGCAGGGTTTGTGCGGCTTTATGGGTGGCGCAGTTCCGGCAGTCACGGACGTATCGAGTGACGTCGCGGAACATTCCTGGCCAATAATATAAGCGGGCCACCCGTGCGATGGTCTTTGTGATTCCGAAGTGTCCGGCGGTCGGGTCGTCATGTAGCCGGCGTAGTATTTCCGCGCGTTGGGGCCTCGGGACGCATTGCTTCCATTGCTCCTCACTGGGCGAGTCGTGAAAGTTAAGATCGTGCAGCAGGTGCCGAAATAGCCGGCGGTTCTGTATCCGGTAGTCCGCATGGTCGGCCGGGTGTTGTTGCACCTCGCGATACATGCGACGGTACCATCGACAATCTGGGGCGGTCTGGAGGACACAGGCCTCGGGTTGACGGGAGAGAGCGTCGGCTACGATGTTCAGTTTTCCTTTTCTATATTGAATCTCGTAATCGTACTGCTGGAGCTCGAACACCCATCTCCCTAGGCGGCCGGTGGGAGCCTCCAAACGTTGCAACCATCGGAGCGACTGGTGATCGGTGACGACCGTGAAGTGATAGCCCTCTAGATAGTCGCGCATTCGGCGAATTCCCCAAACCACCGCCAGGCACTCCAATTCTGTAGCGCTGTAGTTTCTTTCGGCGTTATTTAGGGTGCGACTGGCGTAGGCAATGACGCGTTCGCCTTCGGGCAGTTCTTGGGTGAGTACAGCCCCGAGCCCACAAGCGCTGGCGTCGGTCTGGAGGGTAAACGGTCGGCTGAAGTCGGGACAGGCCAGAACCGGCGCGGTGGTGAGTGCCCGTTTCAGCTCGTCGAACGCCTTCTCTTCCTCCGGTCCCCAAGTAAAGCGTGCCCTTTTATGGGTCAGGCGTGTCAATGGTGCGGCGGTGGCGGAAAAGTCTGGTACAAAGCGACGGTACCAGGAGGCGACTCCAAGGAATTGGCGCACTTGACGGACAGTGGTAGGTGCTGTCCAGGCGGCCACTGCACTGACCTTATCTGGGTCAGTTCGAATGCCGTCTTTGTCCACTATATGCCCCAAGTATTTGAGGCGACTGCAACAGAAGTGGCACTTCTGTGGGTTGAGGCGGAGGCGCGCTTGTCGTAGCCGTCTGAAGACTTCGGCCAGGTGTTCCATATGAGCCTCTAATGAAGGACTGACCACGATGATGTCGTCGAGATAGACCAATACATTGGGCTCCAATTCTGGGCCGAGGACGCTGTCCAGCAACCGCTGGAACGTGGCCGGTGCTGAGTGCAACCCAAAGGGCATGACTCTAAATTGATAGAGTCCTCGCCCGGGAATCGTAAAGGCGGTGGCGGGGCGGCTGGCCGAGTCTAGTGGCACCTGCCAATATCCGTCTTTCAAGTCCAATGTAGATAGATACTGGGCCCCACGGAGCTTGTCGAGCGTAGCGAGGATGTGCGGCAGTGGGTAGGCGTCCTTATCAGAAGCTTGGTTCAGTTTGCGGTAATCCACGCAGAACCGGTGGCCCCCATCTTTCTTTTTTACGAGGACCACGGGGGAACTCCAGGCACTGCCGGAGGGCTCGATCACCCCGGCGTCTAGCATCTTGTTAACCTCGCTATCGATGACGGCCTGCATGGCTGGATTACGCGGTCGGTACCGCTGTTTTATCGGGGCCCCGGGTCGTAGTCTGATCCGGTGTTCGGCGCGGTCGGTGGGTCCCCGCACGGATTCGAATAACCGAAGCTCGGTGTCCAGAAACTGCCGGAAGCGCTGGTCCTCTTCGGGCGAACGTGGAGAGATCCCGGCTGATAATCGGCCGTGGATAGTTGCCAAATAGATTGGGGCCGTCTCTTTCGGCCGATCGGGTGGCGGAGGCGGCAGGGTGAGGCGTAATCGAGCCCACAGGTCGACCCCGATGAGGACCTCGCTGCTAAGGTTATCCAAGACCTGGAAACGGTGGCGGACAGAGCGAGGGCCGATCCGGAGGGCGAGTCGGACTGAGCCGGAGGTGGATGCCCTGGAGCCGTCGGCCAGGTTGACCGGTTCTTCGGATGGCCGGATCTGGAGGCCGTGTTCGGACAGGCGGTCGGCCATGGTGGCGTTTATGAAGGACACCTCCGATCCGGAGTCGAAAAGCGCCCAGGCGGTGAGTCGGCGGATCCGGACTAATAGGTGCGGCCGTGGCGTGTACTCTAACTGGACGCGGGTCGGGCGGTGGCCTCCTCGGTTCCGACCCGCTGACCGTTTCCCGCCGGAGGATGGCAGTCCCGTGTTAGAACGCCATCCTTCCCGCACTGTGAACAGAACTTTCGTGCTGGGCGGCGGCAATCGAGTCGGGTGTGTCCTCGCTGCTTGCACCGCCAGCAGCAGTTCGAGCGGTCATATGTGGCTGCAGCGAGGTTGGCCTCGGTAGATCTGGAGACCTCGCGACGTTGTTCTTGACGGCGCCGGTGGATCTCCTCCCACTCAGCGGCGCGGCTACATAGTTCGGAGACGGTGTGCAGTTCGTCTAACCGAATGTATAGCTGGAGCTCTGGGTCAGCGTTTTCGTACAGCTGTTCGAGCTGGTCCCTGCGGGTGTAACCGCCGGCCCGACGCATCATGGTTTGCACGGCGGTGGCGTATCGAGTAAAAGCCTCCCCTGGCTTTTGTCGCCGGCCTTGTATTTCTCGCCGCAATTGTCGCTTATACCCGGGCGACAGGTATTGGGCGAGGAAATCTTTTCGGAATTCGGTCCAGGTGGACCACTGTTCTCTGGTGTTCCTCCACCACAGGAGGGCCTCGCCTTTTAGCAGCTCGGCTAGCCCGATTAAGAGATGGTGGTCTTCCAGACCATAGGCCACACTGAGTTCCTCTAGATGCTCGAGGAACGCGAGGGGGTCTTTACCCTCGAAATGGCAGCCCCACTTGCGTATCTGGTTAAGGGCCTTCGCCGGGTCGGCTTCGGGTGGTTCGGGGGTTCCTCGTGCACTCCGATAACGGTCTTCGCGGCTGGGTACTTGGAGTGTTACGGACGCTCCGGTGTCGGCGTGGGTAGCCATCACGTGGTTTCTGATGCGGCGGCGGAGGTCGACTAATCTCCCTTCCGGGTCGAGGTCGCGGTCGGCGAGATAACGGGCGGCTTTCTCTTTGTCTAGGTGGTAAATCCACCCGAGCATATGGATTGCGAACCGGAGTCTCAGACGGTCGAGTCAGGTCCCTGTTCGGGCGCCATGTAACGGGGCTCCTTTCCCGACGCCACGGATCGGCTCGTCGGTGCCAGGATTCGGGAAGAGGGGGGAGACTCAGGTTCGCAATAACCACGCCAATCGTTCTGGTAAAAACAGAGTTTATTGAAGCCGCCCTGCAAGAGTTGGCTTATTATCTAGTCTACGCGTACAGAGGAGAATCGCAGGAAGTGCGGACCGCGACCAACTTATACGGACGCGGACACGATTTATAACTAAGGAATACAAGGTATGCAACGGACGAAGCGTGACCAAGTCATACGGACATGGACACGCCTTAGAACTAAGGTTTACAAATGATAACGCGACGGACGAAACGCGACCAAATCATACGGACGCGGACACGACTTATAACTAAGGT